TTAGAACACATCGCTGATCGTAAAACTATAACTTTCGTGTATATATATATATATATATATATATATATATATATATCACACAACAAACATCACTATGATATCTGCAATCATGAGACAGGATCGTTTCTCATTGCCTTGCAGTTTCCTTCTGAATGAACTGTTCAAAAGCTTTATACAGATAGGTATATGTATTTACTTTCCAAGCTAGTATGTACATGAAACGTGCACTTCACGCAGACCCATTGGCCCGCTTAATTTATCAGACTAATCGCAGCTTTGTCCTTGAGAATTGCAAAGTGCCATCTGTGCATAATATTAACCTAGTTAAATCAAGGCCACCTAGCAACTCTGCAGGACCCCCTGATGCTATCAGTTAGCATTGGTAGAATCACCGTGGACCTGGCCGGTGTGTCAATCTACAGATTATCAGTATTCAAAGCTACACGTTTCCAAACCGCAGTTTCGCTATGCCACTTATTTGCAACGTGGCTTGTTCAGCGCTCGGTTTATGATGCAGCTGCCGATTATCAACGGCCCTATAAATGGAAAAGTCATTATTCAATACATGCATTAATATGACATTGGCTTCGACGCATGGACGCCTCAGAGGTTCTCAAAGCTAATTCAACAAATTCGAATTACAGGGACAACGTTCACTAGTAATATGTGGCCTAATTAGATGACAGTCCTAACGAGATGCCTGATAGGACAGTTCGCGTACGCATCCGTTTGGTTGAAGGATGCTGTATTTATTTTTTTCGCTGAATCGTCATGGGTGCGGGCAAGGCAGACGCCAAAAATTTCCACATATTAAGTTCCTTGCTCATAGGTTGCCCATAACTTTAACGAAGTGCCAGAACGTAGGACTGTGAGGCTTCTATCGGGCCACTAAGGCAAGCAAATCATTTTCAACACAATAACATAATCTTACTGCCTATTAGGCTGGTATAAATCATTAGTTTTTAGCCTGTCATAAATCCAGCCAGCCTGTTATTTATAATGATTTCATCTGACAATGAACGGGCCTGGCGTCCACCATTCAGTCGAAAAAGCTGTTTACTACTGTCGTTACAAATGTGTAATATAGGTCAATTTCTCGATTATCAGCTTGTTTTCCTTTAAAATATATTGCCAAGCTTAATTTCGACAGGGCAAGAGTTTGAGAGGCTTAATTTCATATCATGTTGTCCATAAAATCGAATTTTTTCATTCGATTCATTACCGGAGACGAGGCTAATTTTCTACTGGATGCTATAATCAGTCCAACTGAAGCTAAGACAGTACCGGAGGTCGAACCGGAAACATTTGTTTCTGAGAAACATAACCATAAAACATTTTCCATTTTGTCTCCAATGAACCCAGTTTGTCTTCTATGTCTTCTATGTCTAATCTAATGTCTTCTATAAACCCAGTTTTTGTCAAAGTACCCTTTAGAGCCGAACTCTCGTTTAATGTGTATAGGCGAACGCCGTTCAAAGGCAGAAATGACTGTGCCCCAAGACCCTTTCTGGCCCAAATTAAATTTAAGTGTGCTATATGAAATAATGGTAAATATGAATTATTTGCAGAATATAGAACACTATTTACGAAATAATTTGGCGTTCTATGTATATTGTTTGCTTTATTCGATTCCTTCGAGTTCTATTTTTATCATTAAAACTTAAACACCCACTTCGTGGACTCCTCTAAAAGACACCTCACATATTCAACGCTTACGCAATCTTGCCATTTCGACCAGCTTGATTATTAAATTTAAACCATAGTCATGTTGATCTTACTTACTACGGAATTTAATTACGTGGACGACAATTCAAGCGTAGGACAGTTTTACTACGAGGCACAACTTGTTTGCGTTAGGTAAGTTAATGCTATTCTATTCGATTGGTCACTACATGAAAGCCTCACAACTTTTCCTGTTAATAGTTGCTTACAGTCAACTTGAGTTTGTCCGTATACAGAAACGAATATGCTGGATAGCGTTAGCGAAGCTTATTGCAGATGGCTTTGCAGGGGCTCAAGTTCTAGTTCTCTTACTTACAGCTTTTGTTAGCCCATATATGCATAAGGGGAAAATTTGTAGCTACTAGATAATCTGCAAGGTTATAAATCTTGGTAAGTACCTAAATTTTCTGCGAGCCATTGCCAACGGTGCGGGCCGTGTCACGGACGAGAACGTATCTTAATGCGTAGGCATCAATGTAAAACAGGGCTTGCCTTCAATGAAAAAATAAGTGCTCAATAAGTGTGCCGCTAATTATAACTGATCATATACATTAAGTTGAAGCTAAATAGCGGAAGAACCGCCTGATTTGGCGACACGCCTTGGCTTTGTCGGAGAACGATAAGTCAAATAGCGAAAGTTAGTTCTGACGTATTCATATAAAAATATAGTCAACTAGCGACCTAGAATAAATATAGTATCGACAGGCATATTTTGCAAGGAACTCCCCATACTATCCTGCCTCAGATTTTTCGACATTACTCGTTTCAACGTCGTCGTACAACGTTTCAAGCTGGTTTTCTCTCTATATTTAGACGATTTTGATCGTATGGAGGTTTGAGCTCTAACTATTCGATGAAATATCTTTTTTCTCATATAACTGCCATTGGGCAATTAAACGTAAGCCAATTGTATACAAATAGATGCTATATGGTGTTGATTTTAACTACTATGATCGTTGGTCCTGCATCCGTGTGGACATACGGCGAGAGTAGACGTCTAATTTCGAAATTAAACACAAATCTGCGTGATCGAATTTGGAGCAGTGACTTTGACTCGTGTTCATCCAAACGTCTCAATTGTTCAAGCTACCGCATTTCAAGTTTGCAATCAAAGTCCGCTTAGGTATCCCATTACCCGAAGCAAATGTTAATAATGACCAGCGTCACCCACTAATATTAGGAACATTTTGAATAAAAAGTCAGGCCACGTTTGATTGCACGTGGCGCGTATATGTTGATGACGTAAAATAGAAATTTACCAAATAAACATTATTAGGAGCGTCGCATCTTTATGCAGCCTTCTCGTTAATATTATTATTACTGTGTCCGACGCAGTAGGGCGTCGTAATAGCGTTATCGCTATGAACAGCAAAAGTATTTAGCGCATGTTCAAGTGCCGCAGGCGGGGTGAGCCCATAGTTCCTGGCCATACATGGGTCCACAGTCTACTTCTGTCGCGCAGAACAAAATCCGATGTTAAACATTCGGACATAAGAATGAGCGAGCTAACTGCTGCCTGGCCAGCCAAAAAAAAGCCTATTACTTTCGCGTGCGGGCATAGTGATGAAGCCCACAGCCGGGTGAATATACGATGGCACAATGATAAGACGTGACCGGCTGTATAGAGACTGAGCAAATAGCTCTATCTGTCTGTGGTTTGGCCACGTGTACGTAGTTTAGGACCAATGTAGCACATAGGAAAGAACACTGCCAATCTGCATGACTAAACGATTTTTGGGCTTGTTTGAACGCTTTTAGACCATGGGTTAGCCACGAGACGAACCAACGGAGCTTCACGCACGCCATCTGTTGGCAAGCAAAAACACTTCAACATAATAACAGCAGCTGTATTTACGCGCAGGCAATCCATCTACCTCCTCATCGTCGCAATTCACATCGAGATGGCGAACAGCTCCGCATGTGTCGATTGTAAAGATCACCGGCCATAGAAGCAAAGTTATTTAAACATTCGCCCGTACGATATGATATTGGTTACTATTGATATTTTTATTGCGCGTTCGATAATATAAATTTGAGTACGTTTCTCGTATTATCCTGAGTGAAGTCCGCCTACATATGAGCAAGTTAGCAAGCAGACGCAGATCAAGCGATGGCCAAGTAAAGGTTCTAGTTTAGGTTGTTGTTATGAAGTAAGTGACTGTCCGTTAGTTTAAGGCCGATATATTCGAGCCCAACGACTATACGTATAGCAAAAGCGTGAGCGTTACAGTCTGCACCGTCGCTCGAATTATTTTTGGGATTTATTTTGTTACTGCGATTTAAATGCTTTCCTATTTTACTATGAAGGTTTAGAACGACTGGCTGTTTTTTTATTTCGTGCCGACTGGTTATGTTACGTTTTTGACGAATGACAGCGGAGAAATACACTGTTCGTGTAATCACTAAGAGCGTCTTTATTTTACGCGTTTCACGACAGCACCTTTTTTGCCTCTGCTCAAGCTCAGTGAGCTTCAAATGGCAAATTCATTAAAGCCACTTTGACTTTATGAACGAATGTTGTATTTGATTTAGAAGCACGTGAAGATCGATCTATTTATGTTATTTCAACTAAAATATCTGCTTTGGTCTAAATAATATAAATTAAAGTATCAACTGGAAAAAACTAATCAAGATATTCGTTATTAAACAGAGAGAAATAGAATACTTTAAAGAGTCTTCAATGGAAGTTTGATAATTTACTGAGTGAATGCTCCATTTGATGGCGGTGCTAGTAATTTATTTGGGCAGTTTTCTTATCTGTGTTACTATAGACAATTATTAATTATGTATTGTAGTAGACCCCTAGTGAGAAAATGATTGGCATAGGTCCCAGTAACAGGCTAGTGCAGAGAACAAGAATCAACTATACGGTTCCATATATAGCAGCAGTAAGAATATTTTACAGCTTATTAATAGCTTATAATTAATTACCTGATTAAAAAACACAAATTCAGCTTCAGCGATTAAAAATATCCCCCGCTGGAAGAGGGATACGGACCCGTTCCATTGAAGTTTGTTTAGTTGAAGGTGGAAGGCAATGCGTTTAAATGTATGCTACTATCTTAAGTGCTTTTTTAACAATCTTCCCGAATCTTTGATGAACAACTGATCGAACAAACAGGCTGATATAATCCTTCCCCAACAATACAATGTTATAGTATATGGCTATATAATACCTCTTTAAAGGTTTCTCCTCCTCTCATTTAAGCACTTGCTTATTTTGTCAATGGTGAGCTTTCGTAAAGCTTAAATCCAGCTTCTTCCATAATGCTACTTACCTTTACCACTGTTTCAACTTCTTGACACGGCCAAACGTGGTTACATCACAATAAGTGATTACGATTTAAGCTTAATCGACGGTTACTAGTTATGGACGCTATAGCCGAATGCTGGTTTTAGTGTTCATACCGTTTGTCACCGACCGCATATTACGAGGAATAAGTAACAAAATTCTAACTTGATTTCCGTAGATAACAAACATCCTAGCCGAATGAAGCAGAACAACTGGAGAGTGATTTGCCCTTGATATTTTGTATATAAGAGTTGAGCTAAATTTTGGAAAAAGCTCAAAAACCCTCTCCTTTGTGGCATCTGACATTGTCAAGACTGTGTCGCTGTTTGAGGGAGAGGTATGCATCGAAGCGCGTCCGAGCATGCTATGTAAAGCACGTTTCCTAGGAATAACGGACGCAATTTAGAAACTAGCTGCCTGACGTGCTTCATGAAGCAAGCTGATAAAGTCGTTTCGGATCACACAAAATTGCCTCTTTTTCGAGCCCTATCATTTCGTAGGCCCTCCTTCGCAAAATGCAATCGTGCTCTACGTGCTCAAATATTTTGCACGTACAGCTTACATTGCGCGCCAACTTCATCGTTGTCGCAACAGAAGTGATCAGGATGACCACTGCGGTGCATAGGTGGCTCATTATGTTTACATTCGGGTCAGCTTGCTTACGGTTAAGGACAAAGCTATCTATTATATCAATTCATTCGGACGACTGAAACGCCGTACTTGTGCAAAACCCTAATTTAAGATGGACATGGCCGCTTGCTTTAAAGCTGTTATGAGCTAGTGCGACTACAATGGAATATATAGAGGTAAATGTAGCTAGCTTTTGATGCGAGCCAACCAATATCCACTCACAGTGGATATTATTTTAGATGGAACAATGCAGTGGTAAGCGAATGGGCTATCAACACATTAGTAATGCCGCTGGTTTGAAAGAGGTACTGTTGTCCATTGCGGTGCGCTACGGCCCTGTCACTCTTTGTTCGCCCCTTTTGCCTACTTAAGGATTTGCCCGCCGCCAAGGTGTAGAATTTTATAGAAACTCCGAGAAAAATAGGTGTCTTGTGGCAAACAAGATACGTTCAAGTGCAGCAGTATCCTGTTATGTGAAACGTGTCCAGTTTCAATTAATAGTTTTTTGCAGGCGTTTGCGGCCTGATCTGCAAGAATTCGATAAAAGATGGCGTGCTAATTTCTATTGAACTAAACGCTAGCCTATATTAACGAGATTAGTTTCTTTCCATTATACGCTTCAGGCATACCGTAGTGGTAACGTGTTCGGTCGCTAAGCTTACCTAGACGTAAAGTGGTCTAGGTTTGAAAGTCAGCGGGGATACGCTCGGTTCTATATTGGAGGCCACCCGTGCTAAGTAATGCTTAACGGCAGACCAGCATGTAAGACTCGGAAGCACATTCGAAATATTTTATCCAATTTTCGAAGATGTTTAGCTAGATGTCTCGGGCCTATTTTGAAATGATTCCATCTGCGTATCTTTAATATCTTTAAGGCACAACAAGACAAACATGTTGTTCAATAAACAACAACTAAATACGTTTTCAATCATGTAACGCTTATAATAGACGCGCTTGTCTGAGCTTAACGACTGACATTATATTACCAAACGTTTCTACATGACGGACAATAACACGGAATTATACTCTTAGAGTTTCAATTACAGTATCGTAGTAGAAATAGTGCATTTTGTCCGCTTTGCTATTCTGCCATATTTCGCTTTTGTTGATAGAATTACACCTGTCGATGATCGAGTATGTGTCGATTAAAACGCTTGAACCACCGCGCCCTGACTTGTCGAACCTAACTTTAGCCTCTTCAAACGACCGCGTAGCTCACCGATCACACTTCAGTCGATTTCTCGTATTGCCGTCCGTTCACTGGCATACTAGCTTTTTCGAGCTGCGTTTGAGCTATGCTTAGAAATATGCCAATCTAGACAAAAAGTGCCTAGATGCGAAGGTGACATAGAAGGACTGCCTTTTGTTTGGTTGTTGGTGATGGCCTTATTGCGAAGGTCGAGACCTAGTGAATAGTAGCAATGAATGACTATAACAATAAGAATCTATATTTTGAAGGTAGTCGACTGTTCGGATGCATGTCATGACGAAGCGGCTGCCTTCACTCGATTCGGAGTGACAACGACGCACCATTGCACCATTGGAGTATGTCGGAAGGTCCGTATCTGTTTAGGGTACTGGTTAGGCAATCTTTTGGACGAACCATACGCTGCGTTGACTTTTCCCTTGCGCCTAAGCTGCCAACCTTTTCAAACAAATTATGACTGGTACTGCAATTTTTGATGTGGTCTAAAAAGCTACAAAAAAATTTTTTCCCAAACAAAAAAATTAGACTTACACAAAAAAACCAGACACGTCCATCAGTTTCTCAACAGCACAATATAAGACCTCAATCGCATCAGGGAAGTTTTTCTATTCTCAGTACAATATATTTGGCTTCTTCATAAAGTTATTCCGGTAAGTAGCTTTATATTATGCATATATATACAAATGTTAGTCATTATATGGTCTGCGTTACATAGATAAGAGGCGAATTAATTAAGCCGTAATTAGAGATGCCAGTGAACTCTACGCTTCGGCACTCTATAAGGGTTACGTAGATCGATCAAACTGGAAACCTATTACAAAAGTATCCAAATAAGACGTAATGGTAAGCCCAATATGAACGCCATATTGGTAACAAAGAATCTCTCTTTAGCATCTCGTCTCATCCTTATTTTCGGCATTCGTTAATTGGCCCAGTAGCCGTAAGGAAAGCTATAGGAAATAAATAGAAGGGAAGCAGCTTCTAGTAATATGTCACTCAGTACCTTTATTACCGTAAAAATGCAAAAAATAGCTCAATTATAATAACATGTTACAAATGCCTAGCTTAATATGGTGTTGTATTCAGCTGGGGATGATATCACATTCTTTTTCTGTAACATTTCCTGTGAACGTCGTTAGCTTGAATGTTGAACGATGCAATACTGTGCAAAAGATGGCACGACAATTGGGGTTCGATAATGCGTCGGCAAGTAGAACATTCTCGCCTTTCAGACCCATTAGGAAATGGCAAGCGACAATTAGAACAGCAGGGATCGGCTATTACAGTTCAGGGCAAAGTAATTTACGTTAAAAATATATGTCAAATAGATGACGCAAAATTTTAAAGCCAAACATTTGTTGGCGTTTCCCCTAATAAAAGCACTTCATCCAACGACATTTAAAGTAATGGCTCAAATCGAGGCACTATTACAAAGAAAAAGTGTACAAATAATACTCAGATATGATCCGGCCAAATTTAGTCGTAACGAATCAATTATATTCAGCCGTCAATCAATTATATCAATTCAGCCGGTAGCTTTGATCAGTGTTATGTAAACAAACATCTAGAATAGTCGCAAGTCCTGTGCATCTGATTCGGTCACTTTGGTCCAGATCAGATCGAGGAAATGTGCGAGAAAAAATGGCAGAATTCAGTTTTCTGTATTGTATCGCAGTGACGAAGAATTGACTGTTATTATTGTGACAAGAAGTGATTATTTCAGTTACCAACACGCCATTAGATGGGGAAAATAAATATTTCCCTATCGGTACATAATGATAAGTAAGATGCCTAAACGATATAGGGATCAATGTGTCAAGTCACAGTAATAACAGCCGGTGTCTTCCTTCGTCCACTATGGTACAAAGGTTCCGAAAATTTAATAACATATAGCCTCGTTCACTTATCTGCTGCTTAGCCATATTCTTAGCAGAGCTTTGAGCGTTCTCATTAGTAAACACACGTGGTACACGCATACGATGGCACTACGTAAGAATCTAGAATTCGACAGGTTTTAATCTGACGAATCTGCTTATAACGAACGCGCCAAGGCACGACGCGAACACAAGTCCGACGACAAATATGTAGAACGATTCTTCGTCGAAGACGTCTACAAAAGATGGAATCGAATCATATATGGTGTTGAAGAGGTTCAGCTCAGGTGTGATTCTTTTCACCCGCGTTCGCACCATTTCTACAGGCAAACCAGTGTAGTAATAAGGGGAACACTGCGATGGCGTCGCTGAAGATAAGTTGGTTTTATTAAACACGTTCTGATTTTATGCGATATCCTTCGGGTCTTGTAGTTCGTGGCTTATTATACAGTAATGGTCTTTTACCCACGTCTGTGTGCTCCTTGCTGGTCAGCTGTCGGTATCACAATACAGGATTTTCTGGAAAAGAGATTTGTTGAATTAGATTGAGAAAGATAGCCTTGCATAAATGAAATAAGCTGGGGTTATTTACCGAGGTATAAGTCACATATAATAACAATTAACGTCTACGCTCTATCAGAGGTAGAGAGAATGTATCTCATTTAACAACAGTATCTAAACAGCCTTATTTAGATGGAAATATAAACAACTTATTACAATAGAGAAATAAAATTATTACAATCGGAGAACTCCTTGTCAGCTGCTCGTAAAACCGTTTAACTGTTTTCAACAGCTTCAGGGTAACAAATCGTTTCTCCATGAATTCGTCCATACAAATCTACTGGACGTAGATTTCTCTGAGGAAAATTGTACTTTTGGCATGACATATCACCATCGCCTCATACTACCTTCAACTGACACCATTGACATTGCAAAATTGGCAAGTGCTATTTAGGTTCACCATAGCCTCTCAATTAGAGAGGCTATGGTGAACCTAAATAAAAATAAGTACGTCTAGTCTTTCAGAACGGTTTCTTCAATAGATAACATAAGCTGCATCTGTTTCCCTGGAATTCTCAGTTCATGAGTAATCATCGATTTCTACTATCGTTTTTTTCTTACCACAGGTTAGGATTCTTTCCAAAAGGGATAGGGCTTAAATTAGACGCTTTACTTGGGAATGCATAGTAACGCACACGTCGAGGTAACAGAGTGAACAACATGGGCACGTAAGCGCGATCGGTTCTAGATTTTCGACATCAAACAGTACAATAGGGTACTATTTCCCTCTTTAATTTCAATGTACTTCACAGCTTTACGCCAATGCAATATACACACACAAGTGAAGGACTCGCTATATACTGAAAAAGCAACGAACGCAAGTGGAACGTTACATCACGACGGTATCAACAGTGCTCCCCTATGAAATTAGCTCCTATGGTACGCAGTGAGGTATCC